TTAGAATCTTGTCAATCTGTTTTGGACTATGGCATGAATTAAACTGTGCTTTGGAAAATTATAGAAGAGGGAGTCAAAATTGATGATAACTTTTCAAGTTCTTTCACAGCAGAAATCTGCTAAGGTATCGACTCTATGTCCCTACATACATACATACACCCAACAAGACAAACATGGAAATGTGATAAGTATTTTGCAATTGGGTTTTATTAGCTGGCTATTGTGTGAAGTTGGTAAATTTACATGTTTGAGCTACAGTTCTGAAAATGGCTTCTCCTATATCTGGGGTTCTACTAAGTTTATCGTTTACTTCTTTGTTTTGCTTGATGCCCTTTTTAGTTTTAGAAAAGTGATTAAATGCAGAGAACTAGAAGGGAAGTTCTAAGTTCTAAAAGAGAAATAAAAGAGGGAGAGAAGGGGTCATCTGCAGAGAAAGAGATAGAAAAGGGCTGGTTTTAGTTTTTCTGGTGTAAAAACAATAAAGCCTATTTGTTAATATGTTATGCTATGTACCATTGGGGTATTCATAATTTATATTATTGGTGCAAGGGTGGTTCCTTAATGGATTTGTATCAGTTTATGGATTTCTTGGATTTTCTAGGTGTGGTGTAGGGAGTGTTTGTTATTTTGGAGTGTTCTCTGTATCTTTAATATAGTACCATCTTGGTACTATTATAATAAATATTTACCTTCCCAAAAAAAATGGAAAAAAAGTGTCATGTAAATCATGCAACTTTTATAGAATCACTTCAATGATTTTGCTTAACAAATTCGATTGTCAACTAGATAGCTCTTTTTGAAAGCTTCTAGCATGTGTCAACCATGCTTGTGGGGAAGTAATTGTCTGTCGCACCATGCTTTTGAAGTGCGAGAACCACCCACTTCCCGGCAAGCATGTGTCCACAATTCAAATCATATATATATATATTTTGAGAAAGCAATTCAAATCATATTTAAAAGCTTTATTGATCATGTAGTTTGAGGAAAGCGCCACAAGAAAGTTAGGCCTCAACTTACCTTAGCCTTAGCTTATTCATCTTCAATCCCTTGACACTTCTAACGTCCAACAATGTTCATTCTCTTGGAGACAAATCTTGAAAATTTCTACTTTGAAGAATTCTTGGGGAGAATTGAGAATCTTGTTTGATGGAAATGTGGAATTAATCCCTTGGCCGAGCTCTCACTCTAAACTCCAAGCCCTAACTCAAAAACCAACCTCTCATTCTCTCTCCATGCTATTGTTGTCGGTTTATAGTCATGGGCATCCGCGTGTTTGCCTTGCCACAATTCACTTTCCTTGGGCATGACGCCATTGTCCTGGCGAAGCCCCTCCCTTGCGGTATGGCTTACGATATGCCAAATTGGCAAATTGTATTGTTCGAGGTTGCAATATCTATTTTCCTAGATGAGGTCCCGTAACGTCGCGATGCCACCACGAGACTCTGATGATGGGCAGGACAGGTGTTTCGCGGCGCGAGACTATCAAGAGACACCCTTGATGCTTAATTTCATTTTTTCAACTTCTATTTTTGGTTTCCTTTGGCTAGTCCACTACTTCAATTTCAATACCTTTCAAGCTATCTCAAACACTTGTATTCATGTCTCGATCATATCACCTGCATCATGTAATGTTGTTAACACTTTTGTAACACTTTAATTACATGCTTAGGCCCTTAATTAGCATGATGAAGATTCAAATCTACGGGGTTTTACACAGAATTAGCCTAAATTTTCAACTTTTACTAGGTTCATTTCTTTAAGGCATCTTTTGGTTCAGGATGAAATTTCATGTTTTGGCTTTTTTCTTCTAAAAACTTGAAAAATTTGGAATATATACAACAACAGCAACAACCCAGTAAAATCCCATTAGTGGGGTCTGGGGAGGGTAGTGTGTACACAGACCTTACCCCTACCTCGAAGGAGTAGAGAGGCTGTTTCCGAAAGACCCTCGGCTCAAGAAAATAAAAAGACAAAAGAAGACAATATTAGTATCACCACAGAAATCATAGGAAAAATATGAACAATATGAAATCCAGAATAAAGATGCAAAGCAAAAGAGATAACTAGTAAATAGGGCCTACACTGAAAAGCGAAATAGTAAGACACAATATTGCCACTAGTTATCTTAGACAAAAACCTTACCAGACCAGTCTTACAAAGGTACAAAGTAAGGTAAGACTCAACTACCTCCTAACCTACAACCCTAATACTCGACCTCCACATCTTCCTATCAAGTGTCATGTCCTCGGAAATCTGAAGCCTTGCCCAATCCTGCCTAATCACCTCTCCCCAATACTTTTTAGGCTGCCCTCTACCTCTTCTCGTGCCCTTCACAACCAGCCGCTCACACCTCCTTACCGGAGCATCTGAGCTTCTCCTCGGAACATGCCCGAACCATCTGAGCCTCGCTTCCTGCATTTTGTCATCAATGGGAGCCACGTGCACCTTCTCTCGAATATCATCATTCCTAAGTGTGCCCGCACATCCACCTCAACATTCTTATTTCTGCTACTTTCATCTTTTGGATATGTGAGTTCTTAACAGGCCAACACTCAGCTTCATACATCATGGCCGGTCTAACCACTGCTTTATAGAACTTACCTTTGAGTATCGGTGGCACTCTNTTTAGACTTAAGAGTCTGTCTCCAAACTCCCAGCCTCTCGTTAACATCGGCTGGCGACTCATCAATCAAAACTATGCGTATTGGGAACAGTTAAGAGGAATGAAATTGAGTTTTAGACATTTTTATACAACAGAACAACATGATTCAGTTCCTAAGCAATTTGCCGAATAAGTTTAGCAGTGCAACCCTACACTTTTTAGATTTCAATAACAGTATCGTTATCACCATTTTCAACAACGACCTAGTGAAATCCCACTAATGGGGTCTGGGGAGGGTAGTGTCTACGCAGACCTTACCCCTACCCCGAGCGGTAGAGAGGCTGTTTCCGATAGACCCTCGACTCAAGAGTCAATATATCAGTACCATCATCAGAAATCATATAAAAAATAACAGCAATACAAGAACCAAAAAATATATGAAAAGCAAAACAATAACATGTAGATAAGGTCTAACACTATGAGAAACAAAAGAGCAGTGTGAACACGACATTAACCACTAATAGTCTAAGACAAAATCCTATCAGACTAGCCTCACTCTGATGTGTCGTAGATATGCACAACTACCTCCTAAACTACAACCTTAATGCTCGACCTCCGCAACTTCCTCTCTAGGGCCATGTCCTTGGTAATCTGAAGCCACGCTATGTTCTGCCTGATCACCTCTCCCCAATACTTCTTAGCCCGTCCTCTACCTCTCCTCGTACCCACCAAAGCCAGCTGCTCACACCTCTTTACTGGGGCATCTAGGCTTCTCCTATGAACGTGCTCGAACCATCTGAGCCTCGCTTCCCGCAGCTTGTCATCCATGGGGGTCAAGCGTGTCTTTTCCTGAATATCCTCATTCCTAATCTTATCCATCTTAGTGTGTCCGCACATCCACCTCAACATCCTCATTTCTGTTACTTTCATCTTCTGGATACATGAGTTCTTAACTGGCCAATACTTAGCCCCATACAACATGGCTGGTCTAACCACCGCTCTATAAAACTTACCTTTGAATATCGGTGGCACTTCATGGCAGGATATGTTGAATTAACGAAACCACATGATACATGACCTTTAGTATCTGCAAAGGACTTTAAGATTTTGAACTCACATTTAAGAACAATGAAGATGCTGATAAATTCTCATCAAGTCATTGCAATTGAGTGTGTATCAACCAAAGTAATACTTCCAACGGAACTGAACTTGTTTCTGCACTTTCATGCTAGTTGGAGATATGAAGACCAAAAGGGAAAAAAAAAACTAGAAGTTAAATTGAGGCCCAAAGGGAAAAAACCAAACTGATTTCGGTTCAGCGAGCGGTCTGCCTATATTGCAAACAAAACCAAGTAGCTTGAACTGATCTTAGCTAATTTTACAGCCGTATTCCCCAACCAAAAGAGCAGTTTCCGTAGACCCTGTAGAGTCCCAAGCGTGACTTGGTGCTAATGAACTCTTCTCATTACTTAGTAGACTTTAGCAGTGTTTCACACTGAAATACCTTTTCTTTTATCTTTCCTCCCCAACTTCTCCTGCAGTATGTTGCCTTTGAAAGTTGTTCAGTCTAATATATGTTATCTACTTCCAGCTTCCAGTCATCTTATTTTCTTAAGTTAGCTGGCATCACTCGTTATTGTAAAGAATTGCTCTAGCACACAGGATTGATGCACATTTGTCCACTGCAATGATGTACAAACAGTGGACTTCTCCTTTATGTCGTCTCACAATTACTCACAATCTTTTTTGTTGGGAGCAAACTCTCACAATTTGTTTGTCCACTCCTTAAAGAAGGCACATTCAGCAATTCCTGTTTTTGTGCCTATGATCTGTATAGACCTTTCCGGCTCTAATTACTAGAGAATCTCCTGAATTTGAAGTCACTTCATCTTGCATTAAAAATGTATGCCAATAGCTATTTCTGCAAAACTGCTCCATAAGGGAGCTGAACATTGAATCTCTGAAATATATTGAAATTCTGATGGTGTCAACTATCTATAGATGAGGATGTCAAACATGTGCTTGGTAGGACAGCTTTACATTTAAAAGGGTATTGGGGGTGAAACATTGGCCATCCAATCAGGTGGTATTAGTGGTGTAATACTTTTGGGCTTGCTTGTGGATAATTAGTTGTTTCTGAGGTTTCCTTGCTGACTGTCAAAATTTCTTGTTCATCTCTTGACTCACCGTATTTGCTTTTTGGAACGAAGTTGTCAGTAGTCTATGCGAAGATTGCAGAAATTAAGGTAGTGAAATCAGATACGATGGGCAGGGTTGATTTTTATACATCAAGCATGGTGTTGGTGTCAAAGACTTTTGCTTGCTATCATGTTGATTGATCATATAGAGGGATGAATGTCATAAAAGCCCATTACTTTCGTATTGTCCAATGATAGGATCTGTTGGAACTGACGGCTAATGTGAGTTCTTTTATAGATGGTAAGGAAGGTTCGGCCATGAGACGTCGAGGTCGTCCTCCTAAGAGGCAGAACTTACAAGGAAAAAAGCTGTTTAACAAGCACACTTCTAGCGAAGACGAGGAATCAATCTGTGGATCTGACCAGGACGCAGATGAAGAAAAACAAGATGACGAAGAGGAGGTCCCTCTAATACAATCTATTAAGTCATCATCCAAGCTAAGGTCTCTGAAGACATCAAAGAGAGCTGAGGCCATATGAGAACTGGTCATTCTGGTCTCTGTTTAGATTGGTTCTATTCCAAAGTATCAGGTACTTATTCATTGATTGGCAATTTGAGCAAGAAAAATGATTAATTAAAATTGGTTAGATCAGCTTAGGTGGGATTATAGACAAGAGGGGTTGCTCTGATGGTAAGCAACCCCCACTTCCAACCGAGAGGTTGTGAGTTCGAGTCTCCCCAAGAGCAAGGTGGGAAGTTCTTGGAGGGAAGGATGCCGGGGGTCTATTTGGAAACAGTCTCTCTACCCTAGGGTAGGGGTAAGGTCTGCGTACACACTACCCTCCCCAGACCCCACTAAGTGGGATTATACTGGGTTGTTGTTGTTGTTGTTGTTGTTTAGATCAGCTTAGGCACTGGTTTCATGTTCCACAATTTCCACAGGATAGATCAGCTTATTCTTGACATCTGTTATTTAAGACTAGGAGCTTTCCTTCATATGATATTATGATTGATTATTAGGCTCTGATTCTATCTGGGACAAATTTACGGTCTTGATTATGATTGTTGATCTCACTCAAGACTGAGCATTTTCATCTTTTTTTTTTCTTCTGGAATTGACAGCTGAAGTAAATTCCGTTTGTGATTTTGCAGGTTCTCCAATCTTTGAAGGTCTTTTCTCTGTCACCATGAGCAAACAGTTTCCTTGTGAACCATACTAGTTTGAGGAAGCTTTTGTTGAAAGTATAGACATTAGGTGCAGCCTTTGTGTATTTAATAGGTTTCTTGTCATTCTCATATCCTTTTTCTCTTATAGCTATATTTGCAATATCTTTTTGCCAATTTCAATACTTTTATTGATTTGCTAGCTTATTTTGGGGATAAGATGTCCGGTCATTCCGTTACCTTTGAGCTCTTAATAGCAACTGCTGAATTGACGGAAAAAAATGCTTAAGAAAGCTAAGATTAGCATTGAAAGACCAACCGGGCAAGTTCTAGATGATAAAAGTAAGCACAAGAATGTTTTAACAAAACCCAACAAACATGGCACATGAACTAGTCAAGATGGATTAATTTTACTTCTTAATACGAACAATTAGAGCAATATCATGCCAACTAGTTGACAAAAAGTCACAAAACGAGCCAAAAAGTTATCATAACAATCATTTTACCCCATGTAACTTATTTTGTCAATTCACAACACAAAGTTTCGAAGGGGTATTGTCAGTTCACAACCCACATGAAAAAGACTAATTTTATTAGTACCAAGTAATCCAAAAGTCTCCATATAACTAAATAAGACTAATTCCCTTAAGACAGTTGTTACGTCATTCATCATAGGGAAAGGTTCCCCGGTTCAACACAAATATTCTTCGGAAAAGAACTGTAGAATAAAGAAAATCCAAGAAGATTTATTGAAAAGTCTATTACTACAAAAGAAATAAAAATAATATAAACTAAAACTACTAAATTAAGATAAAATAAAATAAATCCAAGCGGCGATACCCTTTGCGAGCCCTCCCATGGCCTCGCCGGCCGGTGGCTAGCTCTCTTACACGGTTGGTATGCCTTCACAACCTATTCCCAACAAGCACAACCCATCACAAACTCTAATCCATCCTTGAATTATTCAAACATTCTAAAACCTACTTCATTAAATGCTCCCATGCACCACACGTCTAGTTCAAAACTCACATAAATCTCAATTCCCATCAAGCATGTCGCTTTTCTATATGGTGAACCATTTATTCAATGGACAAGTTCGGAGGTGAAGACGATGAATAGCATTGAGAGCTTGGACTTTTCTGTCGTGGGAAAGTTCTCGTATGGTTACTGGTTAGTAAGAAATTCAATAACTACGTAAACTGATTCCCAGTTAATGTGGGATTAAAGGTGAAGTCCAAATTGATTTGTTATGTTTTAGACATGTCTTAATTAGATGCACATTATTAGACGACTATGTGAATGTTATGTCTAGAGCTGCTTACTATGTCAAAGCTAAGGATGGTTATGAATATCAAATGCGACCATTGAAATATGATATTTGGTTTAATCCGGATGAAGAAAATTCAATTGCTATGGCTTGGATTTCCTTTCCAACACCACCACCTACCTTCTTTGTCAAGGAATCTTTGTTCTCTGTATGCGGCGAAATCAAAGGACTTAATTTCTCGCTATTAAGCCATTTTGGAAGAATGCCTCGAAACCCCGAGGACGTGGAGCTGCGACCGAGTCCCCTCCCTCGGGGCTCGTCGAGGCCCGACTNCCGAGTTCCCTCCCTTGGGGCTCGTCGAGGCCCGACTCGAAGAAGACGAAGGCCGAGGCTTGAGAGAGAGAGGAAGTTCCCAAGGCACACGGCTAAGTCTGACAGAGCTGGCCTATCCAGAGCCTATGTCGAAGCATCGCGTCTAGCCGTCCCATCTCCATAATTTACAATTAATGCATGTTGTACTATAACCGGGTTCCCCTCCTATATAAAGGGAACCTACACTACTTTGTAAGGGGCTGATGTTGCTCCAAATATTCTCCACAAGATCAATAATCTCTCTCTCTCTCTCTCTCTTCTCTCTAACATGCTCGTCCTTATTGGCTCGAGGCCACTCTCAGCGTTTATAGCTTTCATATTTGTTCTTCATTTATTGTTTGGTATTGTCCATAAAGAGCCTTGTTTGATCACATCCCAACTGTTATCCCATTCCCGATTACCCCCGACAGCTCGAGATCGAGCCAAGATATCGACCTCGGGGCCCTCCATCGACCAGTCCGAAGCCAGGGCACCAAGCCCCTCGGTTTGATTACTGCCCCATTTTAGCTTGTATTTTGTCGTTAAACTTCATATTCTTAGCATCATCTGCTATAACAACGAGCATAAAAATAGATTGCGTATTTTTAAAATCCTATTTACAAATTTAATTGTTGTTACCATTTTCACGGTAAACAGTTTGGCGCCCACCGTGGGGCTAAAAATAATAGTGATTATTTTCTTGCTGGTTTCATTAAAAAAACGCAAGTTATCTTTCACACTTTTTCTTGTCCAAGATCTCTTGATTTCAGGTCAAAATGCCTGGCTCGGTAAACAGAGTCGAGAATGACAATCTCGAAAACCACGGAGAAAATAGTATGGCTGTTCCAGTTGTTGGCGCGCCATCGCGGAACCCCGATAACGCACCTGGACCGATTCCAGCGGACGCGGTTTTGCAAAACGCACAGCGAGCCGACAAAACCTCGCGCACCGACGGAAGCGTACAACATGGCGACCAACAGGACGCCCAAAAGACCCCAGCCCATGAAGAAAAGGAAGTTAGTCTTCATGTTATTTTTGAAATGTTGCACGCACAACAGTTGGCCATTGCTCAGTTACAAAGCCATCCGAAGACTCCCAGTACAGCAACGCCGGAAACAGCTCCCCCCGCCGAGCAAGTACCCGAGAGATCGAGCAACAATGGATCGGTAATAGACCCCGCCATAGCAAAGATGCTTGGGGATCTCTCCAAAAGGATCGAATCAGGTTCGTGGAAGTTTGTGCAACGGCCGTTCCCCGAGAAAGCGGCCCCGAAACCCATTTCAAAGAAGCCTAGAACGCCAAAACCCCCTAAGTACAGCGGGACCTCATATCCCAACGAACACATCACCACCTATATGTGCGAGGGAAAAGGCAACGACCCAAAAGATAATGAGATCGAGCCCGTCTTATTGAAGAGGTTCGGGGAAACACTCTCGAAAGGAACCATGATGTGGCGTCATAACCTAGCACCCGACCCCACAAACTTGCCAACCGAACCGACAGATTCCTCCATAAAGGCATGAGCCGGTGCCATCGAAACAACGATGAGAAAGCCCGACGCATCCAGGGACGAGCAAAGGGAGAAAGAAATGCTACGAGGATTCACACCTCATCCCCCGATGGAACGAATGGAAGTACACCCTTACATTCAGCAAAGAGGGTACCGAAACCTCATCTCGACCTCGCAATGACGTACTGGTAACCTTCTTCCTCACTCGATCCATTTTAAATAAAACATGTGCACATGAGTGCAGGTGGCTTGATCAGCACTGACGAGCCAAGGATGATGGGGCGGCTCGGACCGCCGGGTCAAAACAAAACCACCTATTGAATCTTTAATAGATTCCAAACGGCGATCGCTACGACAAGGAGAAAGACCATTTTCTCAGTACGACATGACTGGCCCAGACCGGAATGTCGAGTTCTATATCATCAAAGGAGGTACAAGGCACAAACGCCTTATCCAGACGACCACGGGTGCATCACCCGAGGATAGGTCCGCCTCCACTTCGCCAAAAGGACGAAATCCCACATAAGGGGAGGAATTAAAACCGTCGGCAGGAAGTAATACGCGACAAGGGGAAATCCCGCATCACATGACGCATCGCCAGCACCAATATCTCCACTGTCGAAAGAGTCAAAGGGTAAGCGAACCACATCATCGGCCAAGCTCGATTAAACACAGCGGAGGGCTGTACTAGAATCCACACCCTAAAACAGCAGGAATATACCAAACCTCAGAACATTGCTTACAAATCCCGCGATAAAGAAAAACTACCTCCCTCCTTCGTTATTTTTCACTAACCTGTATGCAGACACCGGGTCAGGGCATTCGAAAGTTCTAACTCTACCCGTAGACCTCAAGGCCTTAATAGAAACCACCGCGCTCTTTCCCCTCGGCCGGACTTTTGCCCCAAAGAAGGTCTCGCCAGCAAGGTGCTTAGCGGAGCAACGTACCCCTGAGGAGGAACCGACAAGATCATAGGCCTTCTTATGCAATCAAACGATGAAGGACACCCCCCTCCTTGAAGGCGCCGTCTGCTCGAAAGGGCCGGAGAACGACAGACTGAGCCTCAATAGGGAATCATGTACTGGACCAAACGGTCCAAGGAGCCGCGCCCGCATGGCTCGAGCTCACAACAATGAAATGATATGTATTTACGCCAAGCAATAAAAGAATATCTTTCAGCATCTCATACTCCAAGAAAGGGAATTTCAGCATACTCTCTGTAGGGATCCCTCCACCAAATGCATCCCGAAATACTCGTAGACTTAGCGTCAATAATTTGTCTCCCGCACAACCCCAGGGTTGGAACTCCAGGCTCATAAAGCCCCAACAAGGTAACTCCGAGCTCACAAATAACGGCCTTTGAGCCGAAGCAAACTCAATGAACCGGAGACTATCTCCAATCGCCGTACATTGGAAAACCCGAGGCTGTAAGACCCCGAGCAAGCAGACTCGGTATAACCAGATCTATTCTACATAGCAACAAAAATTGTAAGACCTCAACAGGCATGACAAAATGTAAGACCTCAACAAGCATGACAAACTGTAAGACCTCAACATGCATGAAAATTTTGTAAGACCTTACTACAAGCGTAAAACTCAATCCCAAAGTTTAGGCTATACGTCGCATTTGTAAGAATCCCAAAAGGGCATACCCTCGATGTAGATGCCTAAACTCTCACTCGAGATCAAAAATGGCTCCAGCCAAACACATATGACTACGGTCAAACCGGCTGCACCAGCCAAATTAACGCGACTCGGGGACGCCCGACTGTCGCTAACAAAATCGCAGGTCATTACTTCGAATATACTTTGAAAAGAACCAGTTAAAATAGGTTTCCCTCAACAGGAAAATGGGCTTCAACCATGTCAGCTCCAAAAACACAAGGCTTTGAGCTACTCAGCCTACGAGCTAAGAACCTTACAAGGAGCTCAAACATCACCCCTAATGACTTGAAATCGAGGTTCTTTCAGAACCAACGACGGGTCAGGCAAAATCATTTCAAAAAGAACTTAACGAGAGGAAAACAAAGCCTAAAAAATACCCACGGACAAAAGCGTAAGAGCCATTGTCGCCAGCCA